TAGGTGACTAAATTTTAATTTTGCATAGCTTATGATTAAGTATCTTTTCTAGTGTCTGTTTTATGTTTAAATCAATAATGCAACAACTTTACATCAACAACGCAACAACTTTAAATCGCTATTGCAACAACTTTAAATTAACAATACAACTACTACATAAATGTGTTGCAAACACTACATAATATGTTGCTGTAAATGTGTTACATAAGTATTACATAGTTATTAGACGAGGGTTGCATCTCGTGTTGTAGCTTGCTGCATTGTAATGTAAGTGTTGCATGGCTTACTAGCGCACATGATAACCCATAATGAGATAATTCAGAAATTAATTAAATCAATCATGAAATCAATATTATATATCAAATATTATACATTTTCTAACATAAAGGAAAATACTACATCTCTTTTTATCTCAAATGCATTCTTATAATTAAAATTATAAATTTTTCCTTATGAGATTTTGATGCTTTAATCCATATACAAAAAGTTACAAAAAAATTAGCTTTCACGTATCAATTTTTTTCTATCCCAATGGTGGTGGTGGTTATGAGGTTTTGAATTAGTATGAAGTTAGTGGTGGTGTGTCCATTTGTTCAGCTTCAAGGAGGTACCACAAGTTTTTAACCCTTTATTTATTTATTATTTTCTATGCATAAATTGTTTATACAGGTAGATTGGTCTAATTTATTAAATTGTAAAGTTAAAAAAGTTTCATAAATGGTCAAAGAGTAATTTGATTTAAACTGTAAATGGATGTCTTTGTTCATTTTTAAACCTTCAAGGGGTATTTTTGTCCAAAAAATAAGTAAATTTTCTCTAAATCTCTTTTTACCAAAGTTCAGGATGTGTGACTGTGCTTTACCTATTAAGAAATTAAGAAATGAATGTCACATTCATATGCTACTTTTGTGTTTTATATTTAACTTGTTTTTCTTATTAAGAAATTGACACAATTATTCATATAATGGTTACTTTTAAGGATATCTGTGCAATGTGAGTATGATTGAAGAACAACTTTACTATTTTATTATTATTTTTTTAAGATAAAAAATGTAATAAAGCTAAATAAAATATAAAATGAATATCATCATTCTTCACCAAATAGAATGGAGTTTGCTGACGACTTCTCGAACATCATTTAAATTGGTTGATCTCACAATTAGGGGTTGGAATATACCCAAACTCAAATATTTGCTCAAACTCGTTCAATATTTAATGATTATTGGGTTAGTGGTTTAGTTGAGTTCGTTACTAGTAAGTCAATCATTAACGGATAATATATTAACCAGTTTGTCTTTCTACTGGACGGTGATTTTTTTTTTTTTTCGGTTTCTGCTTGGGCTAAGTGTTATTCTTATTGTATCCCTTTTCTTGTATATATAAATTTACTTAATTTTTTGTATTAAAAAAACTGAATATTTATCCCTTAATTATTAAATATAAGAAAAGAAATATTCACCAACTAATTAAAACTCTTACTTGTAAGTTGTAACCGTTAAAGTTTTATTAAATATATATATATATTTAATATTATTGACAAGGTAATTGTATCAGGAGAAAAAAAAAATTGTAACATGACCAAAAAAATGAATGAAAAACTGCTACACGAAAAAAATGAGTCATAACCGAGTTTGACTGAGGTGATGGGAGAGAGAGGGGAAAAAAAAAAAAAAAACACACACACACACACACACAACACCTAAAATTGCATCTGTCTTTGAACTGATAAATTTACAAAATCAAGAGATTTCGCCATATAATTGAAATATTAAAACATAATAAAAGTAGTAAGAATAATAATAGAAAAAATGAAAAAATAATCCTATAATATTAGTTGCGTCAAGATCTAAAAATTTATTATTAAAAAGAAGTAATCCATGCTTTAAAAACTTTCATATCATTACCTGTTGTTACTATTAAGTGATGGTGCAAGTAAATTACTTACAAACTATTGGCACTAAAATTTGGCAGCCACCTCAACGGTGATGCGGATCAGTAAGGACCTGACAAGGAAATATATCTCAAGGAGAGTCGGCCAATAGAGAGACAAAGGGAGCAAATTTAGGAAATATATCTCAGTCACCTTATTAATAAGGTTGTTGCTGAATATATTTAGAGAAATTCGAATCGATTCAAAGTCATCAATTAAAAAGGAAGGACTTAGAGATTTAGTTACAAAGTAACTAAATTCCTATGAGGTAGGAGTGTAGTTGAAGAAGGAAATTGAATCCCTGTGAGATAGGAATTTCAAAAGAAGGGGGCAGCCACGTAAGTATACCGGTAAAAGCTATAAATGGCCATTGGGCCATTTTAAGGGAAATTCGGCTGAAAGGAAGTTACTAGAAATTAGCAACTAAGAAAATCAAGGGATGAGAGATATTTTAAGCAATAAATAAATTTAGAATAGTTGATTTAAAACTTTTATAAATAGAAGTATTGTAAGCTTATTGTAATTTGTCCAGCACCACCCACAAAACATGAATCAAAATTCATTTATCAAATGACTCAACGGCATCTTTTATCTTCAATTATTTTGTCCAAATGGCAATTTCCATTCGAATAATATGAGTTCCAATAACTTATCATTCTTTTTGCAATGTTTAATTATGCTATTTACAATTTATTTTTGTTTTATGCAAACAAATTTAAATGATAAATCTTTGATCAGATTCATGTCAATTTAATTCGGCCAGTATTTCATTCCAAAATGTCATTATTTTCCATGTAATTTTCGTTCAGCCATTTCCTTTATTGTCATTTCAATTCGGCCAATTTACTTTTCAGTCGATTTCAATTCAACCAGTTCATTTTAATTTACTTCAAATCGCATTTTACTTCTTTTAAGCACTTTAGATAAAATGTCCTTGTTACAAACAATGCATAAAAAAAACCTTGTTGGGAGTTCTTACTAGTTTCTCTCCCACACAATCGCCTGAGAATCAGCCATCGTAAAAAGGGATAGGCTGGTGTTTGAATTTACAATTTTTGAGTGTTTTGTACAAATACTCTGACACGCTCGCAAATAGTCCATCAACCGGCGTAAAACCGCACGAACACAAACATAATTGGTGAGGGAGATTTATGTTAGTATATTTTATTTTATATTTATATATTGGGTATTATTAAGATTTGTGATTTTAAATTTAATATTGTATTTCATTATATGTGTATTGTAAATATTTGTGAAATAATTGAATTGCATATATTAATTATATTTTAAATCTTTTTGATAATAATGAAAAAATTAGAAATAAAGACGTTGTTTGTTTGTATGTAAAATATATATATATATTTGATGTTTGGTTGTCATAAAATATTTATGAAAAAAAAAAAAATTATTAAAATCTAACAAAAATAACCTACTCATCAATTTTTGGTCAATTATTTTATACGTCCCACTCGATGGAGTCGACCTCAGGTCCTCAACCTTGACTAGGCCTTTACCAAACACCCAAATTAAAATTTTATTTTTTTAAAAAACTTTAAATAAAAAAGAAAAATATTTTATGTCGAAATAAATAGAGCTAAGTAAAAAAATAAAAATAAATAAATATTATATACATATGGTAACAAATATGTATCTAGTGTTCTTGTTTTCAACTTTCAAAATTGTGACAATAAGTATAAATAGATATCAATTTTTTACTTTATTCATTAAAAAAAAATCACTTTCTCTCTTTAGTCTACAAAAATTGAAAATGTTACTAAACCCATCCTAAAATATCTAGTCTTGTTTGTCAAGCTAATATTGGATACAACCTCCAGTGGCACTGTGTTTATTTGTCCAAATCCAAAATTGACCCAAAAATATCGGAGTATATTTTTTAAATATATTTTTTTAGTCAACTTTAGGATGCTCCTTCCAAAATACGAAGTAAATAAATAATATAAGGATGAGTCATCGTGGCCTGTGGAGCATCCAAAAGTTGACTACAATATGTGCACATATCAACATTCCTGTGTTATATATATGTGTGTGTGTATGTGTGTTTATCGGAGTATATTTTTTTAATATATTTTTATAGTTAACTTTAGGATGCTCCTTCCAAAATACGAAGTAAATAAATAATATAAGGATGAGTCATCGTGGCTTGTGGAGCATCCAAAAGTTGACTACATTATATGTGCACATATAAACATTCCTGTGTTATATATGTGTGTGTGTGTGTGTGTGGGTGTGTGTGTTTTTTTATGGCATACTCCAAGAGCACTCATCCATAAACTGGTTACCGGTACAAATAACATAAAGAAATGTAAGTAACGTTTATTGGAAAAAGCAACCCAAAGAACCATTTTTAATGATTCCAGAGGAGTTGAATTTTTGGTACTTGAAGAAGCGTACGATTGATAAATCTCTCCCATTGATAATTGATTCTAAGAGCCCTTGAAGATTCAGGCGATTGCAGATGATATAATTAGTATTTTAATGATATAACTATTAAATACGTTTTTCCCTCCCATGTCAAAATTGAAGCACTTGTTTCTTTTATCAACCAATTGGAAGGATTTTTTTAAACCACCTTCGTTGTTGGAAATATGAGGTCCAAAAGTTGCAACTCTTAATGGCAGTTCTTAATTTCAATAGTTTTGTATATATATAAATTAACACAATACTTAGGTCCTCACGAGTGAGATTCACAACAAACATATTGATCATAGACCAATAATAAATGAACATATCATCTTTAATTATCAAATTAGAGATGGTGAGTATAGTCACTTACAGAGATAGTGATTTGATTACTATCTATGATTTGGTAATTAAAATAATATGCGTTCATTTATTATTGATCCATGTCAATATGTTGCAGGTTCTCACTAATGAATACTTAAGTATTGTTAAATAAATTATTGAAATAATATGTTGATACCAATATGATGCAATTAATTAAATGTTTGCATATATTATATATATGCAGATATAATTTTTATTTATTTATAGGAGCTATCCCTTTTTTTTAAGTTGGTTATCAGAAAAACTACTTCTAGTTTCTGTTTTTCAAATGAGCTATACATTACATTGTTAAAAATCAAAATAGAATGACAGATTTGTAGATGAAAAAAAAAAATTACCTTATAATTTATAATCAAAGCTTATACAAAGCACATATGAATTATGACATATATAAGTTGTCCTTTAAAACAAAAACTCATAAAAAAAAAAAAAAAAAAAAAAAAAAAAAATTCATAAAAGCGTGCAATACCCGTCACTATTATTTGGTATTGTAAACTTTCTCAAAAAAAACTTGATTCCGATTGTGATAGGCTATTTTTGAATAAAATCTCTCACCTCCTTAATCAACAAGGCAGAATCGGGCAATTCCGGAAGTGCATAAAACCCATGGATCGCATTCGGGTATTCCACCAACTTCACTTCTTTTCCACTCTTTTTCAACCCCTCGTAGTACATTCTTTGCCGGTCCTGTAACGGATCAAAACCTCCCACGAACACCATCGTCGCCGGAAAATTCATTGCCGACAAATCAACGGATTTCGATCCACCGCCGAACACGTTCGCCGCCTCGTGGTCCCGGTCCGATCCTTCCGGCAGAAACACCTTCCACATCCAGTCCGTACGCTCCAGATTCACCAGCGGCATCTTCGTCAGCCGGAGCTCCGATTCCGTGCGCTCTTCGCCGCCGAAGAACGGCTGAATCATTATCAATCCGGCGAGTTTCATTTTCTCCAACACTTCGTCTGCTGATCTGACCATCACGTGGTGCGCAATGTTTCCTCCGGCGCTGTCTCCGGCGAGGAAGCACCGGCTCCGATCGGCCTGCGGCGGCAAAACGACGGCGTCGCTGTCGATGAATTTCAAGGCTTCGAAGCAGTCGTCGTATTGAGTGGGGAAACGGTGCTCGGGAGAGAGACGGTAGTTGATGGAGACGACGACGGCGGGGATTTCGTCGGCCAGGCGGATGCAGAAGTCGTTGTAGGGCTTGGAGTTGGCGGCGCTGAAGGCGAATCCGCCGCCGTGGAAGTAGACGATGAGAGGGAGTTTGGCGGTTTCAGAGATGGTGGCGGAGGGGAGGAAGAGGCGGAACCAGAGGTTGCGGGAGGGGTCGATGGTGTGGTCGGAGGAGGTTTTGGATGGAGGAAATTTTGGGTCGAACATGTTCATGAGACCGCGGTTGAGGGTGCCGTTGGAGCGGCGACAGACGTCGACGCCGAAGCAGTACGTGGCTATAAACAGTCTGGTCTTCCATGGGAGGTCCGGCGATGTTCTACCCAAACTCATTCTCTCTCTCTCTCTCTAAAACAAGAAGCGTGTTACAGGCTTACAGCTATCCGTAGACTTCATTGTTGATCATATGTAAGGGTTTGATTGACTTCACACGGTCACACCACATCTCTCTCAATTATTATTATTATAATATATATATATATATATTTTGAGTTCAAACACACACACACACACAGATATATATATTTTAATACTGTATAACAGTTGTTATTGTAATGAAAAGGTAACACATACAAAACTTTAAAAAGCTTATATAAACATATCCACAAATACAATAATTATCATGATGTGCCAATAACATTATAATACAAGTATCATGAATTGTATTATAAGGTCTCTTCACTGACTTTGGGGATCTTCTGCCTGTTATGTGCCTCCAAGTCAACGTATGCTCTCTCCTTTAACTTATGGAATGGTTTTTTATTGGCTTAAGTGATCCACCAAGTAATGTTAGTGTCCACTTGTTAAGCAAAAAGGCTCTTGCAGTTAAATACTGATTTCGAGTGAAGTATCTGGTTTAATTAACTGACTATATCCTTCCTTTTCTTGAATGATATGGTTTTCCTTTGGTGTCAAGAAAATTTGAGAACAATTATTATTATTAAACAAGTGTGTTTGAGACTTCATTTTTGATCATATACTTCATACCACATCTCTCTCAATTATTATTATTATTATTATTATTATTTTTTGTTTGTGAGTTCAACCATATGTATATATATATATATATATATATATTGCAGTGTCACATTTTTATCATATGATGTTGCTATTGGTACCAGTTTAGATTTTGGTTTTGAAAGTTATACAGTATGTGCCTACTGCCTCACAATCAATCTTTCATTTGATTTGGATATATGCCTTAATTTTGTACAAATTTTATTTTATTTATTTTTTTATTTTGATTAGTTGAACATTAAATTTGTAATTGATTTCTTTTATTGACGGCAATATTGAACTCAAAATTACTCACTCATCTACCACTTCTAAAATCTACCATATTATACAATTTAAATTTTAAGTATATAATCAACTTTGCTTTACTTTAAATATAAAACACAAACCATTTACACCAAACCTCTCCTGGACTCTTTGGCTTTGGGGTTGGCTTCTGTACTTAACCACAACGTCTAGAGTTCGAGAATTGGTATTGAGAGAAGAGAGAGGAAAAAAGAGAAAAGAGGTATTTCAAAATACCTCCATTTTTCTTGCTCGTTTTCAAATACATTTTTGCAGATCTTGTTTAAAAATTATAAACAGGGATTTGATTTTACTTGAAATAAGATAAAAGGAATTTATCCATCACTAATCAAGCAGGGTGATGTGCTTGCTTATCTTGTTTCTCACACACATTTTTATTAAAACCATATATTTTTAATGACAATCTAACACAATTTTTGTGATTTAGTGACAAAATATGACATCAGCATACCACAGAGGACATACCCTCTAGAATAATAAAGCCAGAAGATTACAAGTAACCATTCTCTAAGTCAAACAATTCTTCTAAACGCGTGTCATCTCACGCTCCGAACATGCTATCACTCCCATTTTATGTTGGAAACGGCATTAGAAAACGCAAACTTTGGAAGGATTTTTAAAAAGATTCCGCTAAGAATTTTTTGCGAATCTATTGATGAGCGCGTTCCTCTCTGCGAGGAGATGAACATGGTATATTTATTTTCTCAAATCCGTTTCCGGGTGAATGAGAAATTGGCTCCAAAGTAAGTGATTTATAAAGCCTAAATGGGTGTGAATAAAGTGGGAAATGCTTGTCCCACATCGGAAAAGTAGCAAAGCAACCTTGAGTGTATATATGTCTAGTATGGGATTTGGGTTTGGGCCCAAGGGCACCCAAGTTTTTAAGAGGGGGAGGACCTAGGCTAGCCTGGATCCGAACCAACTACCACACGCGCGCGCCGCCCGCCCGGTCCGGTCCGGGCTAGGGCGGGGCGGGGCTTGATTGTGAAATGGGTTTAACTTTGGGCCTGTGTGGTAATTTTATTTTGTTGCTGGACTTATCAAAATGGGCCTATTTACTGGACTTTTTTAAGTGGGCTTGCGGGTGGAGCACGCTGGGCTGGGCTGCCGAAGTTTGCTTGCTGGGCTTAATCTGTTTTGGGTTTAAATTCAAATCAAAAACTGTTTTTTTGAACCAAGGGTTGCACCCTTTACAAATTAAAAACCATTGGTCAACAATGGTTGCACCCATTCGGACTATGGGTGCACCCATTCAGAATAGGCACCAACAAGCCTATAAATACCCATCATTGGGTTCATTTCAATTCACACCAAATTCAGAAATCTTCTTCTCTTCTTCTGAATTTCTTCTTCTAATTCTTCTTTGTTCGGTTCAGCCACTGGTTTGGGTTCAACCTAAACTGGTTTGGATTGGGTTCGAACCTTGGTTTCCAAGTTTAGGTTCAATCTTGGTCTCCGAGTTAGGATTCAATCCTGGTCTCCGAGTCTGAGTTCAACAGAGAGTGCTACACCGAGTCGGTTCGCCTATTCCATTGGTTTGAAGTGCTACTACCAAAGGAAGAAAAGTCGTTGTATCCTGGGAGATAGACGCCGAAAAGTCCGTTAGCACCGTAGCGGGGCGTATCTGTCTTAAGGCTATAGAATTAAATTCTAGCCTCGACTTTATCAGGTTCTTTTATAGTTTTATTTTCTTGATATTATATAGATTATTATAATAAATATTATATTTACAAATAATATTTAAATAAATTATACTATAGTATATGATACATTATTTATTATTTTTGTTTAACAATCTTAAGACAGATATCTTTATACTATAGTAATAATTATTTAATTATTATTCTTCTTATAATTAATTATAATTTGACTCGTGGTCTGTATATCAATATATAACAGACAAATGGCAAGTACGAGTATTACCGTGCCTAATGTTCCCGTCAGTCATGGGGAGAAGCCCGAAAAATTCAACGGGACAGAGTTTAAAAGGTGGCAACAGAAAATGATGTTCTACCTTACAACTCTGAATCTAAGCAAGTATCTGACTGAGACTGCTCCAGTGTTAGATGAGGGTGATACAGACATTACCAAGCTTGGAGCTGTTGATACATGGAAGCATGGAGACTTCCTATGCAAGAACTACATCCTCAATGGATTGGACAACACCTTATATAATGTGTACAGTCCAATAAATACTGCTAAAGAGCTTTGGGAGTCGTTAGACAAAAAGTATAAAACAGAGGATGCTGGATTGAAGAAATTCGTGGTTGGACGATTTCTGGACTTCAAAATGATAGACTCCAAGACAGTCGTGAGCCAAGTGCAGGAGCTCCAGCTAATCCTACATGAGATACATGCTGAGAAGATGACATTGAGTGAATCCTTTCAAGTAGCTTCAATCATTGAAAAGCTGCCACCTACTTGGAAAGATTTCAAAAATTACTTGAAGCATAAGCGCAAGGAAATGGGGCTCGAAGACTTAATTGTCAGGCTGAGAATTGAAGAAGATAACCGTACATCTGAAAAGAGAGCCGGAAATTCTTCAATAGTGTCAAAGGCAAATGTAGTAGAAGCAGGACAGAAAAATAAGAAGAGGAAGCACTCTGGAGAAGGTCCTAGCCAAGGAAACTACAAGAAGTTCACCGGGAAGTGTTTCATATGCGGCAAGCTAGGACACCGAGCTAAAGATTGTCGTAGCCGCAAAACACATCATAACCCCAAGAAGAAGACCACTGAGGTGCACATAGCTGAAGAAGATAAGTTGACAGCTGATGTATCAGAGTTAAATCTTTCAGCTGTGGTTTCTGAAATCAACCTGGTAAGCAACAACAGAGAATAGTGGGTGGACACAGGAGCTACTCGTCATGTTTGCTCTGAAAAGAGGATGTTCACTACCTATGAAACTATAAATAATGAAGAACAACTCTACATGGGGAATTCTTCTACTGCAAAGGTTGAAGGACAAGGAAAGATCAAGCTACTAATGACCTCAGGAAAAGAGCTCACTCTTAATAATGTGCTGCATGTACCAGACATCAGGAAGAACTTGGTCTCTGGGTCACTACTAAGCAAGAATGGGTTCAAGCTGGTCTTTGTATCTGATAAGTTTGTGCTGACTAAGAATGGGGTGTATGTGGGCAAAGGGTATCTAAGTAATGGACTATTTAAGTTCAATGTAATGACTGTTGTACCCAAAGCTATTAATGATAATAATAAAGCTAGTGCTTCTTCTGCTTATATTATTGACTCATCTGATGTATGGCATGGTAGGTTAGGACATGTTAATTATGATACTATTCGTAGATTGATTAACATGGATTCTATACCTAAATTTAATATTGATTTAAATCAAAAATGCCAAACATGTGTAGAAGCAAAATTGACTAGAACCTCATTTCACTCCATAGAACGAAGTACTGAACCTCTAGCATTAATTCACAGTGATATCTGTGACTTTAAATCTGTGCCAACTAGAGGTGGGAAAAAGTATTTCGTTACTTTTATTGATGACTGCACAAGATATTGTTATGTATACTTGTTAAGAAGTAAAGATGAAGCCTTGGAAATGTTTAAACATTACAAGAATGAGGTTGAGAATCAACTTGGAAAAAAGATAAAGATGTTTAGAAGTGATAGAGGTGGTGAATACGAAATACCATTCGCTGACATTTGTTCAGAACATGGTATTATTCACCAAACTACCGCTCCTTATTCACCTCAACAGAACGGTGTTGCTGAACGCAAAAATCGTACCTTAAAAGAAATGATGAATGCTATGTTGATAAGTTCTGGTTTAACCCAGAATTTGTGGGGGGAAGCTTTGCTCTCTGCTAATTATGTTCTCAACAAGGTACCTCAAAAGAAATCAAAGGTGACACCTTATGAATTATGGAAAGGTCAAAAACCTTCCTATAAATTCTTAAAAGTATGGGGGTGTTTAGCTAAGGTTGCGGTTCCTACTCCTAAGAAAGTTAAGATAGGACCAAAAACCTTTGATGGTATTTTCATAGGCTATGCACAGAATAGTAGTGCATATCGTTTTCTT